AAGTACTAAGACAAATTTGGAGTCAAATGGACCGAATGGCATGTACATAGCACTTTCGACGCGTCCAAGATTTCCCGTGGGCAATCTGTGAAATCAGCACAAGGCTCGACGCGTCGAGAAGGCTGCAGTGCCCAGGGGCGCTAATTTGCAAAACAAAAGGCGCTGCACTAAATCTTCAATTTCAAAGTGGGTGTATCATTCTCCAAATCATAAAAAGGCTGTTTTTCACTTTCCAAATAAAGAGTTAGAAATTTCCAAATCATTAGAGGCGGCAGTTTATATAATAAGAGAAGAATTCGAATTTCAGCCCATATACAATTTCAGTCTAATTTTGCACAGAATTCCTATTTCAATCAGGATTTGTTCTAGGCTTTCAACTATAAAATCTTACCTTCCTCAACCCTAATATTCATTTAGAGATTTTTGGAGACAAACAGGGAGAAATCAAGAGGCATAAGTTGTCTTGGGAAGCAAGAAGAAGACTAGTGAGATTCGAGAGAATCGTCTAGTTCATTCTTGTACTCTTTTTACTTTTATTATTATTTTCTATGTATAATTTAGCCATGCTTGGCTAAATTCTTTAGAGATTCTTGAGTAAAAGTGTTTACAAACCTATGTGTCTAAGCTCTTAGATTCTTTAATATGTTATTATTTGGGTTTAATGCTTGTGTTGCAATTGTGATTTTATTGTTTGATGCTTGTAATTAGTGGCCACAGTTACTTGTTTCGTTCGCTATCTCTGTGTCACAACGAGAGTTGGGCATAATTTAGGGCACACACAATTGCACCTAACTGCTGCACCTAGAGATAGGGCAATTTGTTAGGGAGTTTAATTATTGATTATTGCGCATCGAGAGATGGTAGTAGTTAGGAATGTATGATGTTTGATCTTGTTTTATTGGGTGTTTAAGCCATGAGAGTGGAAATTCACTAGTGTTAGTGACTACGAGAGTAGCTCTATACCACCTTGCATCCTCACACTTGTTAAACCCAGATTTTAATATTGTCCTTAAGATTTGACACTAGGTGATTAAAAATACTTGAATCCCAAGAATCTCATCTTCTCTCTAATTGTTTTCAATCATCTAAGCAATTGTTAGGATTAGCTCTAATGAATAAATTAGTAACTAGTATTTGATACAACCACTTCCCTGTGGATCAATAACTCATACTCTGAGTTTTATTTGTTTGCAAATATACTACGCATCATTTAGCCTCGTGCATTCTGATTTTATTTCTTGTGCAACACTACTCTTAGTGTTGAGCATCTTTGGAGGATAACAATATCAGTGTGCATTTCCCAAATTCACTTGGTGCATTTAATAGAACTTTGTTTGCACCATAACTGTGTTTGCTGTTACATTCTTTTAAGAACATCCTCATTTGTTTGGATTTTAGCATTGGTCTTTGTAGGCCATGTACAAAAGTGAAGGAAAGAAGAGAAGAAAAAAGAGGGGAAAAAATAGGGAAAAGTAAAATTTGACGTAAAAAGGAAAAAAATGGGAAAAGCGCTAGATGTGCCCCAAATACACAGGACTGCAGCTCTCTTTTGTCATTTCTCTCTCTTTCGGGACCCACAAAAAACTTTATTCTTGCAGGGCAACCTCAACCTTTGCACCACATAGGGACCTTCATAACAGAGGACACTACACTATCATATGCACAATATACCAATACTCATTGCACATAGGAACTTTCAACAGTGTACCGCAATAAATTTTACTGTGGTCCATGGTCTATGTAGCATCATGGACTACAAGTATGTATGATTTTAATTACACTTCAGTTTCATTTGACGTTATTGTTATGTATTTTAGTTTCATTATAGCAATACTAAAGTATCATTTTAAATTTACTATAGTTTCATTTGATGACATACATTATTGCTTGAGCTCTATTTTTTAGTTTCATTTTCCACACATACTAGTTTAACTATAGTAATGTTGAAGTAATATTTTATTTTCACTTCAGATCATTTGACAATATATGTTATTATATGCATGGCTCTGTATTTTAGTTTTATTTTCCATGCACACTAGTTTCATTATAGTCATACTAAAGTATCATTTTAATTATACTACAGTTTCATTTGACAATAATGTGCCCTATTTTGTAGTTTCATTTTCCACACACACTAGTTTCATTATAGTAACACTAAAGTATCATTTTAATTCTACTACGGTTTCATTGGACGATCATGGTCTATACAACGATGTGTGGACCATGGTCCACGGTATAACAATTGTTTACCACACACCAGGGAAAATTATACTGTGGACCGCAGCCCACAATGCATTATGGTCCAGGCATAAAAACGGTGTCGTTTCTTTTAATAAAAAGAAATGGCACCTGTTCCGCACCGTCCGCAAAAAATAACTCTGTTTGTATAACATATTCAGTTTCATTTTGTATACACAACAGTTTCATTTCAACGCAACTATAATTTCATTTCGATATAACTACAGTTTCATTCGACATTATACACTCAAATATGTGAAATTGTTATTCAGTTTCATTTTATATATACTATAGTTTCATTACAACACAACTACATTATCATTTCGATATAACTACAGATACACTCAAATATTTGAAATGTTATTCAGTTTCATTTTGATATAGATGCAGTTTCATTCGACATTATACACACAGATATGTGAAACTGTTATTCAGTTTCATTTTATATACACTATAGTTTTATTACAACACAACTACAGTATCGTTTTGATATAACTACAGGTTCGTTGGATAATATACACTCAAATATGTGAATTTATTATTCAGTTTCATTTTGTATACACTGTAGTTTCATTTCAACACTACTATAGTTTCGTTTCAATTCAATTGCAGTTTCATTTGATAATATAAAAACAATATGTGTGGCAGTTTCAGTTTATATACACTGTAGTTTCATTTTGTAATTAACACACCAAAAATACGCGCTCCGTTAAGCTGTAACGGCTGCCATTTCTTTACTTAAAGAAATTGCGTCGTTTTTGGATCATGGTCTACAAAGCTTTGTGAACCATGGTCCATGATATAATTGCTAACAAACCAGGCTACCCACAAGTATATTGATAAGTACGATTTATATATTTAATTTAGATAGTTTATTATAATAAATTAGTTTTATTTATTTAATACTATATTTATTTTAAACTTTATTTTATATTTTGTATTAACATAATAGTTATTTGAATAATTTAAGCTTAAATGTCATTTTTGGGTCATTGGGAATACATTTGTTAATTAATAAGAGTTGGGCTAGGTGGAATTAAAGTAGGTTAATTCTTTTTTTCTTTTTTTGTATCATTTGGCTCAACTTACATGTTTTATTTGTTTTTTGATTTCAGCAGCCCAAACTACACATGCATGGTGCACACGGTTGCAAAAACGACGTCGTTTTGACATCCGACTTTAAAAAAAAAAAAATCATAATTGCATAACTACACATCCATAACTTCATAACTATACATCCAGAATTGCATAACAACACAGCAATAACTTCATAACTATAAATCCAGAATTGCATAACTACACATCCATAACTTCATAACTATACATCCAGAATTGCATAACTACACATCCATAACTTCATAACTATAAATCCAGAATTGTATAACTACACATCCATAACTTCATAACTATACATTCAGAATTGCATAACTACACATCCATAACTGCATAACTATACATTAAGAATCGCATGCATAACTACACATCCATAACTTCATAACTATACATTCAAAATTGCATAATTACACATCCATAACTTCATAATTATACATTCAGAATGTGAAATTATAACTTCATAACTATACATTCAGAATTGCATGCATAATTACACATCCATAACTTCATAACTATAAAGCCAGAATTGCATAATTACACATCCATAATTTCATAACTATAAATATAGAATGTGAAATTATAAAATTATGAACATATGTTTATGTAACTAACGGCAATCGAAAATGATTTTTTTTTTTAAAGTAAAATGATGCCGTTTTTGCATCCGTGTACACCCTGCATGGTGCACACAGATGCACAACATAATTTGCCCCGTTTAATATATTTGTCCTTTCTTTATATTTTTTCCCTTATAAGCTTTTTACGTACGTAGATACCAGCGAAACTTCTTCCGAGCGTCTTCTGTGAACGCGGCGACGGCATCGGCAATGGGAACTCCGTTCGCGGTCTGCTGCGATGAATGACTCCATGGGCGAACGATTTATGCGGTTGCTTCGAACTGCTAGTCTGCTACCACAAACGGACGAAATCAGCTGGATCCTATTTTCTTTGGTGCGTAGGATTTAGAAAATAAATATTATTTATTTTCTAGGTTTTATGTGGTTGAAGAAATTGATTCAATTTGAGGATGTTAGGGAAATTAGGATTATTTTTAGCTGATTAGGGTGCTGAAATTAGTATAAATAGGCCTGAATTATTCAATAGAGGACAGTCAGTACATTTTATTATGATGTGTTGTTAAGTTTATTTTCCAACTCAAGAATAATTGAAGTTTTGGTTCTTTTAGAATTGTGAGATCTACTTTGATTTTCTTTTATGCTACATTATTTATATGCCTTCTATTATCTTGACATTACTACTTTGATTAATTGTACAAAAAGGATCCGTTGTTCAATTTTCAATCCAGTAAATTGTCATTTCGAATTCTTAAATCCGTAATTGTTTAAGTGTTCTAAACCTTAGTCGTAAAATAACATAGTTGATTATTTCAATCTTATGTTATGGAGATGTATAGTCTAGTTTAAATGGACTGAGCTTGCGAGTCTGTTGGCTAGAATTGGTAGTCTTTCTAATTCTTAATGCTGATAGTTAATTAAATCCTAAGGGCTTGTTTAGGGTTGTTAATTATCTAGGGAAGTAATTGAAGTGCCTGTTTTGATTACCGATAAAGTAAGGAGAGATATGTTGTTAGATCGAGCTTGTCAATAGCAATAACCAATTTGGTGTAATTTGGTGTAGGATAAAATAATTTACACTTGGCTAAAGTGTCATCTAGCACCATGAACCATATTTGATTATTCATCCCGCACCATGAACTTTCATATCGTATATATCAAGCCGCAAATCAAGAAAAAAAAATCACCTAGAACTTTTAGCAGGTTATCATATCTTCCTGCTGACATGGCGCCTGATGTGGCATTTCTCGTTACCTTATGTTGTCCATGTAAGCATTTACATATTTAAAATTTAAAAAATAAAAATTATTATATTAAAAAAACCATAATTTTCTTCTTTTTATTTTCATAATTTATACTTTTTCAAATTTTCAATTCTAATATTTCAATTTTCTTTTTTTTTTTCGAGAATTTATATTTTTTGGCTAATTTTTTGTTTAGTATTTTTCTAGTTTTCCTAATTTATAGAAATGCTAACTTTTTTTGTTTAATTAGTATTTTCCAACATAAATATATCCATCAGCGCTTTAAATGTATATTGCTTACTCATCCATATAAAACCATTTAGATGGTCAACAACTAAACCAAGTGAAATTAAAAAAAAAAAATGAAATGAAGTTACTAATAATATAAAATATAACATATATATATATATATATATATATATATATATATATATATATATATATATATATATATATTGTTAATAAATGTTATATTATATAGTCTTTGTATTATGTAATTATGTGGTGTAGGATTAGTTTGACTGAAGCTCTCTATTAGTTAAGAGAGTTTCTAGTCAGTTACCTTTCATCTGCTGTAATCTCTTTCTGTTACATCTGATCAATCAATTTCAAACTCTCATTTATATATATATATATATATATATATATATATATATATATATATATATATATATATATAATGCGAAGAACAAAACAAAATAAACTCCCAATTCATAATCTACTAGCTAGTTAAAAAACAAAATCATACATATATAGTAGCTATAAACACCAGCTAGTTAACAAAAATAAATAAATAAATAAATAAAGAGAAAAAAAAAAGTGACTCCATCAATCTTCATTTGCCTTCATGGTCCCATTGAGCTTCACTCTGCGCAAGCTACAGAAAAGAAGAAAGCATTGTCAATTAATCATAAACGGCTAAGAGCCATCTACATGATTTATTTAAATCCGCATTATGTTCAATTAATTTACCTGACATTCTAACAAAGCTTTCCTTAGACAAGTCTGTCCCTCTTCCACTTCCTCTCCCTCATCCTCTCACTCTCCCTCTCACAGCAGTCAATGGTCTTCCTCTTCCTCCAACAGCATAAGAACCATCACTCTTCCTCTAACAGTAGAAGAACCAACAGATTCTGCTTGTTGGGTTGACAATGTAGGACAAAATCGTTTGTTATGTCCATTTCTCTTGCATAATTGACATGTCATAATTCTTCCTTAGACAACTTTCTAACTCTTCACTCATTTTTTGCTTGGTTTTTTCATTTTCTTCAAGCTTTTTTTTTTCTTTGGTCTACCAGTCATCTTCCTTGGAACAGGAGCAAGTATTTCATCGCCTTCAATCCTTGGTCAAAAGATTTCCCCATTCAATGGCTAGTAAAACTTAATTAGAAGAAAACATTATATTCCATTTTTGTATTAATTAATTAATGAACTAATGGTCTAATAGCTAATTTCATATATGAATGCAGAACTGTAAACACTTTTAATTTATGTATTCTTTTCCACTTTTATAACACTATGTCCTTATCTTTTCAAATCAAAGAAACTTAGTAGGACCTATTGTATCAAAAGCATACACATTTGTATTCACAGCAACCGTACATCAACATTATATTATTCACAGCTTTGCGCATAATATATGTGATGTGTATAAATTTTTCTCTTTTCTGTAGTATAAAAAAAAAAGAAGAAAATAATTACGCATCATATATATTATGCACAGCAATAGTACAATATATATAATTCACAGAAAAGAGAAAAATTTACACATTATATATGTGCAGCAACAGTACACACACAGACACGCACACACATATATATATGATGCGTAAATTTTTTTCTTTTCTTTGAATTTTATATATATATATATATATATATATATATATATATATATATATATATATATATATATATATAATATATATATATATATATATTTGTATATTACTCCATGAAATTGAAGGAAGTATTTATACTACAATTATATGCACTAGTACAAAATAGAGCAAAAAAATATGACTTTAGGTTACCCATTCTTTAAACAAGGGTAGTGTATTATTTTAAAAAAAGAGGGCAGTGTTTTAAACAAGGGACACGGAAACATCAAGGCTTTCCACGTCCCCCAGATCCGCTACCCTTGTACAAGGGTAGCAGAAAGCACTGTACAAGGGTAGCGGATGTTCATATCTGTACTAGTGATTGTTTATATAATTATATTTGCCATGCCTGATGTACAAGCGCAGATACGGACTATAAGCAATAAATCACATGCTATAAAATTAATGTTATAATATTTCCCTACCATACCTATATCATGGTTAAATCTCATCAATACTATTAAACGTACACATTACAATTCAAGTGAAATATGATTCATGGTGTATACTTGAGTTTGCACTATTTTGTTTTTTATCAACCCGAATTCATGATGCAGCATGGACCCTAGACCATGATATAATTTTTCAGTTGATTGATATTGGTTCTATAAGGCCACTTTAATTTTATTTTTTGACTTTTCGGTTTTTATAACTTTCCAACCAATCATAATTAGGGAGAATGAAAATCAAATTAAACTTATTTTTAGGATATGTATTATTTTTCATTAATTAGTGTAATGTTACATCTCCTAAATTCCCTTTCTATTAATATTCACCTCTTCGTGTGACAGTGTTGGATTTTAGATGATTCTCATGTGAGACTATCTCGTGGATGTTTATCCATGAAACGGGCTAGGTCTTGATGAAAATGCAATACTTATGATAGAAATTAAAAAAAAAATGTAATACTAATCTTGCATTAATTGACTGTTATTAATTTGAAAAAATGTCATAGTATGATGAGCCCTACCTGTCTGGCTGTCTCAGATCATAGACGAGGATCTGTGAGAAAAGGCATCCTAAGAATATAAAGAGTTTTAATATTAAAAGAGTAAGAAATTTAAAAAAAAAAAAAATAGAATGAGATAATAACATTGCAGTACTAAAAAAAAGTATATAATCCTCAAGAAAATAGTTTCTTAAAGGTTTCTCTAGGAGCAACATTAGTAGTGCTATATCCACCATCAATCACAACATTAATCCCACTTATGTATTTTGATTCATCACTGCCGAGAAACACCGCCGCCTCCGCCACGTCCTTAGCCTCCATCACCACCCCTTTCAAGTTGCCTAATTCACACGCCAACTCTTCCGCCTTTCCCTTATCCTCCATTCCAAGCCCACTCATAAGCAACGGCGTCGCCACCATGAACGGAGAAATGCAGTTCACTCTGATCCCATACTTCCCCATCTCCACCCCCAAGTTCCTCGCCATGCCCGCCACCGCATGCTTCGACGCCAAGTACGCGTACGGCAAGTCTCCGCTCGTGACCGTGGCGGCGCTGGCCGTGAATATGACGCTGCCCCTCTTGGCCGGGGTCATCACTCGGGCGGCGTGCTTGGCGCACGCGAACGCGCCGTAGACGTTGACGTCGAAGACGCGGCGGAAGTTGTCGTAGTCAGAGTCTTGGATGCGCGTGTCTTGCTTTCCCCCGACGCCGGCGTTGCTGAACATGATGTCGAGCTTGCCGTGCTTGGAGACGGCGGCGTTCACCGCGTTCTCGACGTCCTTTTCGAGCTTCACGTCGCAGTGGACGTAGCTCAAGGCGTCTGTGTCGCCTATTTCGTCGCAGATTGATTGGCCTAAATTGTCCTGGATGTCGGCGATGATCACTTTTGCGCCATGCTTAAGGAATAACCTCGCCGTGCATTCACCGATTCCGCTCGCACCACCAGTTATCACGGCTACTTTGCCTCCAAGCCTGCAAATTATATCGATCAAACATGGCAAATTATACAAATGGATCAGGGTAGGTCTGCCTAACATGTATTTATGCACATGTAAATATATTGAAGTTAACATGACATAGAAAAATAATTTCAAACACATAGTATATTAACTACACACATATAATACGTTATTAAAATATTATGTATTTGCATTTAACATATTATGCCGAATCCAGGAATTTTCTCCAGTGGGGCCAAACATTAAAATAAAAGAGATAGCTTGAAAAAAAAATGAAACACTTAGAAGTATAGCTATAAATATTGTTAGATATGAACGAAAAATAAAACACATCAAAACTTTATAAAAATATTCATAACAAAATATGAAACATAATTAACTTGATAAAATAATTTGAATAAAAATAACATTATAAATCACACATCTCATTATTAATATTAAAAAAAGTTTTATATAATAGACTCATTATTAATATTTTATACTATTAAGTATTAATAATATTGAAAAAAAAAAAAGATGTGTTGAAAGTTGAAACCACATTAATATTTTGCCAACTAATCTAGCACCTCTTTTGTTAACCATTTTCTATTTTACTACACTTATAATAAATTCTACACTACGTATACATATATACATACAAGGATTATATATGGGATGAGGGTGGGGATGGAGTGGGGTGAGTGGGGGTAGTTGCCTCCACTGCCCCCATACGGGATCCGCCTCTGATATTATGGATGTGCAGTTAGCATATTATTTGTCTGTAGTTAACATGTTATGTGTTGTAGTTAATATCTTATGTGCTTTCAATTTATAAGTATATAAACTAAAAGTATACTACAACATATCAACTACATATACATAATTTTTGAACAAAGATTAATATATATAATACAACATAAACCGTGATTCATTCATAGTATAACAATTGATCAAACATGGCCAGTGTTACTGTTTGGTAAATGGCAAATTTCAGGATATGTCCAGGTCACTGCTCTTGTCCTCAAAAATTGAGGGCCCATTAAAACTAATAATTACTATATATGGCCATCCAATTTTGGGGTCCCCATATCTTTTTAAAACAATATATATAGTCAGACAAAATAAAAACATGGTATTCCTATAAAAATTGAACAACAATTTCAGTCGTTCATAATACTTCATCAATTTTATAATTATTAAAAATTAAAAAATATAGTATTAGCAAGATCTTACATTTTAATTTATTAAGATGGATGGTGTAGTTTGTCTATACTTTTTACTTTTTATATATGTAGTTTGTCTGAACCCTCCTCTCTCTCTATATATATATATATATATATATATATATATATAAAAGGATGAGTTCGGGTGCGGGGATGTTCCCAACAGCTCAAATCAATGAAAATAAAAAATAAAAAAATACGTGTCTGGAAGAAAGAAGCATAAGCTAAAAATGTCGCACCTTAACCGATAGAAACACGCACTTTAAGTGTTAGAACAACGCATTTTAAGTGTTAAAATGGTGTACCTTAAGTATTAATATCGCGTACCTTCAGTTTATAACAATGGCGCACTTAAGTGATACAAAGACGCACCTTAAGTGTTAGAACAATGCACCTTAAGTGTTAAAATGACGCACTTAAGTTTTGTTCAAAAGTTTTGTTCTTGAGGGTCTGAGCTAGGGGTCTGGCAGACCCCTAAGTTCAAAAGTTTTGTTCTTGAGGTTCTGACTAGGAGTCTAACAACCCCTCAGTTCAAAAGTTTTGTTCTTGAGGGTCAGAGCTAGGGGTCTGGGATACTCGTGACTCAGACCCCTTAGTTCAAATGGGAGAAGGGTGGCGGGCAAGGAGTGCTCGTTACCCTCTTCCACCTTCTGTTCTGTTCCAGACTTGAAAAGAAGAAACATGACACTTAAGCACAAAATACACGCACCTTAAACACAAAATCATGCACTTTAAGAAAAAAAAATCACGCACCTTAAGTATCAACAAATACTCACATTAAGCACATAACCCTCGTCCCTTAAGCACGAAACTCACGCACCTTAAACAAAAAAAATCCACACACTTTAAAAGGAAAAACCACGCAACTTAACTTTGACCTAAATACAAAAATTATCAAATTGTCACAATATTTTTTTAAAAATTTTTTTGATAATCCTAAACATTGATTTAAGTCAGATCAAACCTAATTATATATATATATATATATATATATATATATATATATATATATATTATTTACATAATCTTTATGTAAAAAGTGAGGATGTATCTCATCCATCCATCAAGATTAAAAAGTAATGTATATATTTTCTTGAAGTCAACAAAAGCAGCCTGCCAATTTCGAACTTCAAATACTGTTTTTCATCGTTTCAATAATTACACGTGAAAGAAATTTCGTGATTTGACGATTGACTGCCTGGACAGTACGTGTGAAAGTATTAGGGCCGGTGGTTGTTGGAAATAAATATTGTGTGGAACATGATCCAAATAGTGGTAAATTATGCTGTGTAAGTGTGTAATCATGTGTACCATGTTCTATGTTCATAATTTGTCAGTTGTTGGTAGATAAATCAATTCAAACAACCAACACCATACTACATGTTTGTTATGACTGATGACCCTTTTTTTGATGTTTTATTTCAAATAATCAAATTTTATTAACACTGTAAAATTTTGAGTGATGAGAGTAATGTGCAACCAATACATAAGGATTACAAGGAGAGGTAAACTAGTTGTAATTTTTTTTAAAATAGTTTTTGGTTGTGATTTAAATACTATATTAGTTTTTGTACAATTAAATTAGTCAACTTAAATTTTTAAATAGATTTAATTTCAGAAATGGTCTTTGACTATTGGCATTTCAATATTTATTATCGACTTTCAATTTAAACATAATGTGTACGTGACTATTCATTTTGTTTCAGATTTGATCCACTGGCAAATAGTCATTTTACAGGTGTTAAATTTAAAGAGAAGAATATAAAAATTCGATAGCAAAATCGTCTTTCTAAATGTGCTTATTTAAAGGTGTTGAAACAAAGGACATAATCGCCTCAAATTTGTGACAGAAACTGTTGTAGTCTGGTCTAAATTGGATTATGCATCAACTTGTTCTTCACATTCTCACTAATGATAAACCTAATATATGAAGGTTATGAAACTATTTTGTTCTTTACAGTTCAAGTCAATTTTTATATTCTTACCTTTAAATTTAACACTTATTAATAGATATTTAATTGAAAGAAAAAATATGAAACAAAATCAATAGTTAAGAAACCATATATAGTCAAATTGAAAATCAAAGATAAAAATTGTTAAATACTAATAGTCAATGGATTAGACTATTTTTGAAATTAACTCTTTTTAATATTTGAGATTTTATACTTGAATCATCGTTGCAAATCCCCTGATTTTTATCCATTTGGTGAACAAACATCGGGGTATGTAGACAGAAATCATGTTTCCAACCACTTGATTTAAACTTTGAAGGGTTCATAAAACGAGTCACTAATTTAACCTTAATGCCTTGTAATATATAGAAAAATCGCTAGTCTACTTCATGGCAAACCTTAAATCTATACATAAGTCTAATTAATAAAATCCACATGACTTATGGTTCTATTACCAACAAGAAAAAAAAAAACGAAGATTTTGAGTGCTTATTGCTTAATAACGTCATTTTTAATGTCATTAAAACATATTTACTGACGGATGCTCAAAAATAGTCATGCCACAATAACGTCCGGATCAACAGAGATGTTTAAAAAAATGACTAAAAACAAAATTATACATATAAATCTTTGACAAAAAAATAAAATAAAAAAGACTTAACACTTAGAATTGAATAGACCAAATTGTCCTTATATTTAACGCTATTTAATCGATTCTGTTGACGGAAAGCCCAAAATGGTTATTCCATAATAATACTCGGACCAAATGTGGATGTTTTGAAGAAGACTTAATGTGGAGTGACAATTATAAATCAAGGGTAAAAAATGGAATTATATATATATATATATATATATATATATATATATATATATATATACACCAATAATCGTATATCACATCACATCAATGGAACTTAAATTCTAATAATTAAATATGTGATTACCTCTTGGCGAGTGGTGCAACCAAAGAAGAATGGGTAGCCATGAACTTCAAAACTCCTTTGTGGCTTACTCGGCTTTGTTGGTAATTGAAATGCTATATGTGCCCTCATTTATATTAATTGATGAGCAGAGAAGGTAAGTGTATTCCAACTTGTTAACATGACTTTTATCTCAAAGTAATGTATATATTTACTTGAAGTCAACAAAAGCAGCCTGTCAATTTTGAACTTCAAATACTGTTTTTCATCGTTTCAATTACACATGAAAGAAATTTCGTGATTTGACTATTGAGTGCCTGGACAGTGTGAAAGTATTAGGGTGCACACAGTTGTGTTGATCATAGTCTAAAAATGATGTGTTTTTTTTTTTTTTTTTTTTTTTTTTTTTTTTTTTTTTTGCGTAAATTCTTTTCACGTGATACACTGCAATATATATTTTAATATTACATAATGTATATCTAAAACATAATGTACATTATTTTAACTCATAAAGTACATTATCTTACATCACAAATTTCATTATTCTAACACTGTACCTAATGTACTTTATTCTAACATATAATATACATTATTTGAACTCATAAAATACATTATTATAACTCATAATGTACATTATTTTAACTTATAAAATTCAACGATCTCGTTTTGTACCGTAGTCCACACAGTTGTGTGGACCACAGTCCACATACATAATTTGTCAGTCGTTGGTAGTTCTATGTGGACCACGGTCCACATAATTTGTCAGTCGTTGGTAGTTAAACCAATTCAAACAATCAACATCCATACCACATATATGTTAGGAAAATGCTACATGTACTCTCATTTTGTACTCCCAACTTGTACTCTCGCACACAAAACTTTGATGTAGACACTTGTATTGGGATCCACATGAAAAAACTAACTTACCAGAATCTGCAACATCAGAGAGTAAAATTTAGCCAAGACAAGAGCTAATCCTAGCCACAGATTATATGTTTTGTGTATATGTACAAGGAAGAACAGAGCTATTTATACAAGACAAGAGTTAATCCTAGCCACAGATTTCAAACATCCAAACTTAGGGCTAAGAGTGATTATCTCAACTAATACCCTATTTGTAACACCCCCGATTTTTACGTACTAAACAAAGGTAATTAAAGCTTAGAGATAAAGATTAAACTAGCATTAAGTAGTAAAAAGGTCGCAGAAGCTAAACAGTCAATCGAGAATGCTATGCCACATCTAACTAAGAGGTTAGATGCACAGGCTAACTTCAAGTACTTAATCCCAAAAATCCAACATAAAGTTCACAAGTCTAGCGTTAAAGGCACATAGGCCACAAAGTCTAGGCTAAGAGCAAAAAGGGAAGCTACGCTAAACAACATCCTCTTCTAGCGCGCTCAAGACCGAACTACTCTGTACCTGTTAAACATAAGGGGTAGCACCCGTTAGCGAATAATGCTAAGTAACCCACTACTACGCGTTTAGTACTTATAATATAGATATAAGAAATCATTTTGAGACTTGGGATACATAGATATAATGTTAGCAACACTAGCTTTAAAACAAGGAGTAGAGACAACATATAACTCATCATAGAACTCTCTCAATCAACTGACCATCATACGATAAATCAAGAGATCAATACCATGATAAGGACAACATGATAATCAACAAGATACGATAATCAACATCAATCAATAGATAACATCAATACATGCTCATAAGCAAATGAAAGTCAAGGATCACAATCAATGACAAGTTCCAACCTTATGTCCGGTTCCAACCTTATAACACCGCTCCATCCTTATTTCAGTTCCAACCTGTACCTCCAAGTGCCACCCTATACTCCAATCCGACCTTGTCCCTCCGTGGAGACTTAGCTCCCCGCCAATCAATACCACCGATCTCATAGACATACGCAATGTCCTTAATAATATAGTACTTATCACGTGATAGTATACCACCAATCAATTGAGCAAAGCTCATTACCGCCAATCATTTCAATCTTTTAACATAGTCATCGACATATATTATTAAGGCTCAATAATAGCCTAATCAAGGAACAATCAATAGAGTACAACATTTGTGCAACCTTACAACAAGAGATTCAATCGAAAGACTTCAAGGAGAGGCATGAAAGGAACACTCAATACAATGACACAATTACGATAGACTTCAATCCAAAAATTACAATGATTGGTGAACACAAATTACCAATTTTCATAGAGAACGAATGAACAAGCACATACTAGTACCAACAACATCGTAACTAGCATGAAAATCAATAGGATAAATATAACGGTTCAAACGAACATCAAAGATTTCACATTGATCCAACGAATCACAAAGTTGGACCTTAATCATGATTCAAGACTCATAAATCCTATCATGGTTACTTAGGACATCGTTCTAGACATACAAAACATCAAAGGAGACACACAATTGCACAACGGTTCAACAAAACGGAGGCCAAAACATCACGTACCAGTGGGTGGAACGGTGGGAGTCAACCACCCGCCACGCCCCCCGCTAGTACCAGCGGGTGGAACCACGGGTGGCCAACCACCCGTGACTCTCCCCGCTGCCCACAACCTGTACTCAGCGGGTAGACCGGCGGGTGGCACACCACCCGCCTGTGTACCCGCTGGTATACCTGCACAAGAAGGGTTTTCCCTTCGGGGAAAATTGCAATGAAGTCCAAGTTCAAGTCCAAAACACCCAAAATCTCACATCAATCAACAAAGGAACTTGAACACATGAAATAGCTCTAAGAATAGCATTTATGAACCCTAATCACAAGCTCTAACATGCATAAACACAAGATTATGCACAAATTTACTCAAGAATCATCAAGAACATCAATAGATCTTCAAGAAATCATCAATAACAAGTATAAAATAGGTTTTGTAGAACATGAGTTACCTCTTAAGTCTAAGAACACTTTCACCAACTCCTATTCTTCCTCTTGGAGGTCTTCTTCTTCAAGATCTTCCCAAACACAACCAAAAACCCAAACAAGACAACAAAACATAGATAAAGATAAGAAAAGACTAAGTAAAAACACTAGCCAAGTTTAGGACTTACCCTTCCTAAGGTTTTGGTGGATGAAAGTTTGAATCTTGGTGGATTCCTTGCAAGATTGGGGGGAAGGGTTTTAGTCTAGCTTGGGGAAGAAGCTAAGGTTTAGAGAGAAGATAGAGAGAAATGGATTTCTTGCCTAATGTGGGAAATACAAGGGTGGTGGTGCTAGGGAAATATCTTGGATGCTAAGTAAAAGTTGGAAAAAGACTAGAATAGCCTCCCTTGTCTACAAAATGGTTAGGAAGACATCAAAGGCTAGGTACAAGGCATAAAGCATAATGTATTTTCCATTGACTAATTCAATTGACTAAGGAATTTAGTCAATTTAGGTTCTTCAACTATTTTAGCAAGGAAATTGGAAAGGGAATTGTAGGGAAACTCAGAATTAATTGGATGATTAATTCCGTTTAATGATAATTTTTTGGGGTGTCACACTGTTCCTCTAACACTCCCCCTCAAGTTGGAGTATCCAACTTGTTACATATGTATCACATGAACCATAGGACTCCACACCTAGACTCATAACTTCCAAGGCTAATGCCCAAGTCTTGAACCACTCGAACAATCTTCGAACCACGTTGTGCCAAATCAGTCCACAATACACCTTGTCGCACCAACAAAGCTTCTACGGAGCCAAAACCAAGTCAAACACCACAGCGCACCTGCCTCTCACACCCCACACCCTTACCCAGGCTGCCTAACACCACAACATACCTATCTCTTGCTCCACAAACCACTTGCGCTGCCACACCAAAGTGCACATGTCAGTCTCACCACGAACCACCTTCGCTGCCTCACACCACAGCGTTTCCTTGGTGCATGCACACAAACTGATTCACCCTATATCATTCTTCAGCCGTCGGGCTTCCCTGCGGCGTATGCTAGGTCTGCCCCACTCCTAGCACCTTGTGCTGCCCACCCCTGCAGCACCCATGTTTACTCATACTGAACAGGCTGCACTAACTCAACTCAGGCCCTAGCATTGCTCCCATACCAAATTAATTTAAAACAAGCGACAAACTATGATAAACCAAACACAAAGCTCAAGACTTATTAATATGTTAAACCAACCATACTTTGACTAAATGGGCTCACCAAAACGAGACGAATAAGACAATATTTTGCCAGAAAAGTCACCGGAAATGGCCTCAAGCGCCTCCATCACCATCCCAGGCCTCTTGAACTCACAGAGACGAGCCCGCTAGTACTCGCCCTAACCGGAGAGGACACCGGAATAGAACACATGTGCCTGCACGTGGTGTCGAACCCTCTGGACTGCGGTGGCGCGTGGAGGCGCCATTCGCCGCAAACCTCCTGCCGGTGAAGTCGCCTCCCTGCCCAATCAATGCCCACTAGGCTCTGATACCATGTTAAACAACGAACTCAACTTGTATTACTATATGTTATGTATATGTACAAGGAAGAGCAGAGCTATTTATACAAGACAAGAGCTAATCTTAGCCACAGATTTCAAACATCCAAACCTAGTGCTAAGAGTGATTCTCTCAACAAATACCCTATTCCTCTAACAAAAACCATATGTATAATTATTTTCATTTTATTTTTATAGCCTTTTCATTAGGTGAAAGGTTCACACAACTCTTTTTCTTTCTATCAGAGAATAAGTGTCTCCAATCCAGTACTGCTGCTAGATGAGATTGACAAAACAGGTTCTGAAGTTCGGGGTGATCCTGCTTCAGCACTACTGGAGGTCCTTGATCCTGAACAGAATAGGACCTTCAATGTCCAGTATCCTTTCATTTACGTCAGTTTTTTTTTTAATTTTTTTGAAAGGCCTTTCATTTACTTATTTGAATTACTTTTCATAATTATCCTGATAATTATGCAACACTAGTCTTCCATTTCTAGTGTTTTGAGTGTTCTTTTTAAATTTTGATGTGATTTTAAGTTGGCCTTTAGATATGGATTGAATTTTAAATTACTTTCATATTGCTTGTCATATTTCTCTTTTCGGTACATTCTGAGGAGGATGAATATTAAACTCCAATCCCAAATCCAAAAAAAAAAAATGTCAACTATTGGCAATGTGATTTTGAGTTCCGTTTATGTCAAAAGTTCAGTTAATGCATACATATATAGGAAAAAGATTGTTTAATTGGTGCCAATAATTTATCATATCATGCATCTTTCTCTTGATTCTTTAATTCAAAATATAGCTACCTAAATGCACCATTTGACCTTTCAAAGGTCACATTTATGGCAACTATTCACCCTGCACTCTTGGACAGAATGGAAATCATTGAATTGCCTGGGTATACACCTGAAGAAAAGCTGAAAATAGCCATGCTGTACTTAATTCCAAGAGTTGTTGATCAGAATGGCTTAAGTTCTGATTAGCTTCAAATTCCTGAGGTATTGCAGTCATTACTTGTTATCAATCATCATAGTATGATTAGTATCAGAATTGTAAAAAGGTTGCACACTGCTTCAACAAGTATCAAGCGGTCAAGTACTCAATTAGATAATCATCATTTTTTTCAAACTGTTGAATGACAAATTAAATGTACATGTTTTTTTTAACAAAGGGTGTGGTAAGACTCATTATCCAAAAATACACTAGGGAAGCCGGTGTTTAACTTTTTGTGTAGCCTGCAAGATATGGTGATAGAGAGACATCAGAGAGAGTTAATACTCCTCGAGTATTGGACTGATCTGGACAGCATTTGGAGGGGAGGTGTAATTTGTTGAGGCCACTTCCATGGTTGGATTAACTAGTTAATAATGAATCATGATCATGTTGCTTTTAATGCAAGGCTTATTAGGCTATGATATTTCATTGTTGTCTTAATTCTTTAGAACAGAATTGAAGTTACTGGAAGTGCTGAAAGAGGCCTTCTTTCACTCTTTTTTGACTCACAGATAAGGGGAATGATATTTATTCTGTTTGGGTGACACTAAAATTTTAGCCCCTGCTTTGGTATATATCATTTGAAAACTTTACATGTATGAATTTATTTGAAATATCATTGCTACTCTGATCTATAGGATAGGAAAAAATTTCAGTACTCCCTCCCTCTTAATTGCTTCATTTAGCTTGATTTCTACATTGTTGTCAATTTTTACTCATCTGATGTTCCATGATCTTTGAGCTTATTGTTTATTTCTTTGGTCACAGATACGTGCCAGAGCAACTAACTCAACTCAAGTTATCCATGGCCGAAGAACATGATCTGCTAGGGGGCAGAGATATTCATATCCATTTTCCGGCTGGTGTCATACCCAAAGATGGACCCTCAGCCGAGGTAACCTTGGTGACCTCATTGGTTTCTTTTTTCAACCAATGACTTAGTTGAAGTCCCAGCAAGCATATTTTCGAGTCTCGAGGTAAGATATCTCTGCCCCCCAGCAAGCATATTTTCGAGTCTCGAGGTAAGATACTGCCTATACAGAACAAAAATTTGTGTTTGTTGTATCCTTGTATAAACAAATTATACCGGCAAAGAGAGTGGAAGATGTGGTGGAACAAGCCTTGGAAGGTGGTTGCCCGTGGAGAATATATAGCTTCTAAATTGTGACAACCCATATTTCTTCTTCATCGCATGAATCAAACTGGTATAGTGTTGGAATGCTTCAAAGCTAGAAGAGAAACAGAATGTATGCCATTGAAGGAGCTGGAAAAAGCTCTTGATATTACACTGTGAAAGGGAGGAAAAAATCGTATGATGAACAACTAACACACATAGCTATATAGGCAGTTATAAATGCCAGGGAAAAGAAGAGAAAGACCATTAAGCCTCTGACTACTTATTAAGCTAAGAAAGGGGAAAAACATGCAACAGCAAAGCAGCAGCAAGATGAGCACAGCTTTGAGATGATTTATGCTACTAGGGAATCCTTTATTTCATCACCCCCCCCCCCCCCCCCCTTAAGCTGGAGCATGAAGGTCTTGAAGGCCCAACTTATCATGGAATTTGTCAAACAAAGGTTTAGCCAATGCTTTTGTGAAACCATCAGCAGTCTGATTTTATGAAGAAACAGCAAGAAGCTTGATGACTCCTTCATTGATCTTTTGCCTAACCACATGACAATCAATCTCAATATGTTTAGTGCGTTCATGAAAAACAAAATTCTCACCAATAGCAATGGCAGAATTGTTATCACAATACAAAGTCACTGGAGTGGTGAATTCTGCCTTCAAGTCTGCTAACAGGAACAACAACCATTGTATTTCACAAGTTGTTGAGGCCAAAGCCCTATACTCTGCCTCAGAAGATGATCTAGAGACTGTTGCTTGCTTCTTGGTTTTCCATGAAATCAATGAATTCCCAAGATAGATGCGATATCCAGTCACAGATTTCCTGCTATCCACACAAGTTGCCCAGTCTGAATTTGAAAAGCCCTGCAGCTTCATAGATGTATTAGAAGAGTATAATAGTCCTTTTCCAGGTGCCCCTTTTAAGTACCTTAACACCCTATGAGCTGCCATCAAATGAACATCCCTAAGCTTCTCCACAAACTGACTCAACTGCTGCACAGCATATGATATATCAAGTCTAGTATTGGTTAAGTAAAAGAGTTTTCCAATTAACCTTCTAAAGATCTCAGGTTGTTCAAGGGGAACCCCATCACAGTTGTTTAATTTTTGACCCGTGACAGCAGGAGTCTTGGCTGGCTTGGCTTCCAAAAAGCCATATTCTTTTAAGATCTCCATAGCATACTTCCTCTGGCAAATGTTGATTCCAGCATCAGTTCTAAAGGCCTCAATGCCTAAGAAATAGTTCAAATGACCCAAGTCTTTGATTTTAAACTCTCTATCCAATAACTGCTTTAATTCATCAATTTGAGCAGAATCAGTTCCTGCCAACAGGATATCATCCACATACACCAACAAGGCAATGAAAGAGGTTCCTGTCTGTCTAGTAAACAAAGAAGGATCTGCAGATGATTGCTGAAAGCCATGCACCTGTAAAGCTCTAGTCAACTTGGCATTCCATTGCCTACTTGCCTGTTTAAGGCCATACAATGATCTCATGAGTCTACAAACCTGATTTGACTTACCATTCTGAAAACCAGGAGGCAATACCATATAGACTTCCTCCTCCAAGTCTCCATGCAGAAAGGCATTATTGATGTCAAGTTGCTGAATGTTCCAAGCCTTGATAGCAGCCACAGCTAAAAAGGTTTTGATTGTGGTCATTCTAGCCACAGGAGAAAAGGTCTCAATGTAGTCAACACCTAGCTTTTGAGTGTAGCCTTTTGCAACCAACCTGGCCTTATACCTTTCTATGGAGCCATCTGCTCTATGCTTCACTTTATACACCCATCTACAACCAATGGGAGATTTGCCAATTGGTAAGTCTGTTCAGATCCAAGTTTTATTCTAATTCAAGGTTTCTATTTCAGCTTCCATGGCCTGTCTCCATTCCAAATGCAGCGCAGCTTCTTGATAGGACTGTGGCTCTTCAGAAGAGGAAATAGAAGCTGCACAGATTCTATGAGTAAGAGGTAGATTTTGATAAGAAATGAACTTCCCTATAGAATGAGGGGATGTTCTGGCATTGGTGTTGTTGGATGTGACAGTCTGACAGACATAATCTTGTAGCTTTGAAGGAAGATTCCTTGCTCTCATAGACCTCCTAGGTTGCTGCTGATCAACCTGGTCATCAGTGTTTCTGAGATCACTCACAGAATGTGACTGTGTGTCATGAACATGATCATGATCAGTGGAGTAATTCCTGGATTGTGAAAGCTCAACACGGATGTCTGGTGTTTGTTGTTGCTCAGGCTGGATTTCTGTGGAATGGTCATTCAAAAAAGTATCTCTGATCACTTCACTGTCATTATGTCTGCCAATTTGATCTAACATAGTAGAATCTGCTTCAATATATGTTGGAATCAAGGGAAGAGGAGGACCAAGGCTACCTGATGCAGCAATGTCAAAAACAGTCCCTGAGTGTTGTCCCTTGGAGGGAAAGATATGCTCATGAAAAGTCACATTCCTAGAAACAAAAACAATTTTGTCAATGATATCAAACACCATATATCCTTTCACATTAGCAGGAAATCCCAAAAAAAATGCATTTCTTGGCTCTTGTTTGCATCTTGTTCCTCCCTTGTGAAATAGTAGCTGCAAAGCATAGGCATCCAAAGGATCTTAAATGATTGTAGTCAACATCTTTTCCATACAATATCTGGAAGGGAGTCTGACCATCTAAAACTTCAGTGGGCAACCTGTTTATGAGATAAGAAGCAAGCACGCAAAACACAATGACCCAAAAAATTGTCAACAAGACCAGATTGAAATTTCAGGGCCCTAGCTACATTCAGAACATGTTGGTGCTTCCTTTCTACCACTCCATTATGCTGAGGGGTATGTACACATGATCTTTGATGGACAATCCCATTTTCATTGAAGAATGCTCCCATCAGAAACTCATTCCCATTATCAGTTCTGACAGTTTTAATCTTGACATTAAAATGAGTGAGAACATAATTATAGAAGTTATGAAATATTGATCTGACTTATGACTTATGCTTCATTAAGTGCAGCCAAGTATATCTACTATGATCATCAACAATGGTTAGAAAATAATGTTCTCCATTAAGAGAAACCACAGAGAAGGGACCCCAAATATCCATGTGTATCAAGTCAAAACACTTCTCAGATTTGTTATTGCTAAGTAGAAAAGGAAACTTCTTATGTTTGGCAAAATGACATGTATCACAAGTAGATCCGAAAGTAGTACAAGGGGGGATTTTCACTCCTTTCAACATTTGTATTTTATTCATTGGGTAGTGACCCAGCCTATTGTGCCATATCTCAGCAGATAAGCTATTACAAGCCATTTCAGTGATGTTACTTGCAGATTGAACAAGAAGAGCTTCCTGCCTGACTGGAGGATTGGAGATCAGGTATAATCCTCCGTTCTCTTTAGCAAAACCATCCACCATCCCAAGATGGCCCTGGATATTACAGTAGTCAGCCCCAATAATAATCTCATAGCCTAATTCTCTTACCAGTTTGCTAGCAGAAACAATATTGAATGAGAAGGATGGAATAAACAGCACATTTTTCAGCAGTATATCCATATGAAGCCTAATGTCCCCCATATGTGTAACATTAACTGTTTCCCCTTTAAGTAGCTTCACTAACACCCCATGAACACCATAATAAGATTCAAAATAGTCCAAGGAACAAGTAATATGGTCTGTTGCACCAGAATCTAAGATCCAAACATCAGGAGAATTTAAGACTGTATTAATATGGGGGTTAAGAATAAACTTGCCTTCAGTGTGCCTTTCTGCAGTCTTTCTGCAATCTGAATTGGTTCCAGTGTTATACAGGGTCACAGCTGCATTGTTGGATGAATAACTCCCTTGACCTTGATTTTGCAACAAGGTTACAAGACTTTGAAACTGTTCAGCAGTGAGGCCTACATCTCCAACTTGATTCACAGAGGCAGTTGAGATCTGCTGAGAATCTTGGGCCTGTTTATCCTTGGATTTGTAACCTGGAATCCATCCTGGGGGAAATCCATGCTTTTTGTAACACTTTTCAATTGTGTGTCCTAGCTTCCCACAGAACGTACACTTAGGAACATTTTTTCCAGAATTATTGTTGAACTTCCTTTTGTTGAAGGAAGTTGCAGCAGCCACAACAGTTTGATCATCTGAGTTCTGCACAGTTGTGTTTTGTACAGCATTGGATTGAATCAAATCAGGGTTCTTCATAATGCCAGAGTTTCTAAGCTTTCTCTCCATCTTCAGTGCCATGTTGAGAACCTTCTCCATGACAGGGATAGGATCCATGACCAAAACTCCGGACTTAATGTTTTCATACTCTTCATTCAGTCCTTCTAGGAAACGAATAATCTGATCTTCCTGTTTTTCCTTCTGAATTTTACTGATGAGAGCACAAGAGCATCTCGGTACGCACTCACACTTAGGGATTGGCCTCATAGCATTCACTTGCACCCATAGAGCATTAGATTTCGTGAAATACTCATTAATTGAAAGATTACCTTGAGTGCACCTGTAAATCTCATTCTGCAACTTTGCAATTCTGTGAGCATCGACCTGAGAATATCTTCTCTTAAGAACACTCCAGATCTTAGCTGCAACTTCGAAATACAACACTCCTTCTGCAATCGTAGGACTGAGTGATTTAAAAAGCCAGGAACATACAATATTATTGCATCTTCTCCAGATCGGAAACCTAGGATCAGATTCTCCAGGGCTCACTATGCTTCCATCAACAAATCCATACTTATTTTTAACTTCGAGTGCAATTCTCATTGACCTGCTCCAAGTCGCATAGTTAACTTCTGATAGAGGAGGGGAGACGAGCACAAGATTAGGATTCTCCGTTACATGCAAGTACATAGGATCGTGGAACTCTTCCACACGCTGAACAGGGCTAGGGTTCATCGGAATTTGATCTGACGACATAGCTTGTTCGCCACCATTCTCATCACCGATTTCAGTTTCCGCCGTGACTACTGCGGCGTAAATCCGATGGTGCTCTGATACCATGTTGGAAAGCTTCAAAGCTAGAAGAGAAACAGAATGTATGCCATTGAAGGAGCTGGAAAAAGCTCTTGATATTACACTGTGAAAGAGAGGAAAAAATCGTATGATGAACAACTAACACAAATAGCTATATAGGCAGTTATAACTGCCAGGGAAAAGAAGAAAAAGACCATTAAGGCCCTGACTACTTATTAAGCTAAGAAAGGGGAAAAACATGCAGCAGCAAGATGAGCACAGCTTTGAGATGATTTATGCTGCTAGGGAATCCTTTATTTCATCATATAGAGTTTAGCACATACAATGCTCTTATTTTCCGAGTTTTTAACATTCAACGTGTAAATCTTTGATTTATGGTAGAGATCTGCAACCGTTATTCAAAGGTGCGTTCTCATTGATGAGGATGCTCTGGTTACTTATGGTTTAGGCTGAAGTTGTATAGTACGTTCTATGTACATCAGCAGTTCACTGCAAGTTGAAGCCATGGTTTGTGTAATCTTAGTTTAGGGTTTATGATCTAAAATAAACATTACAATCATAATGCTAAAAAATTTTATCGAATAACTTATCACGTATTATAATTTATATCTAATTATTTGAAATTTATTATGTACTATACACATTATTAAATAACTAGTATTTCACCCGTACGATGTACGGATCAAAAGTTAAATAACATTATTTATAGTTGATAAAGTTTAAAAAATAAGTTGCAACTTATAGTGTATCAATTTGAGTATACAAATATGAGTAAAGATTCTAAAAAAAAAAAAAAATCAAAGACCAAATTGATAATTTTGTTATAGTCAATGGATCATTTCAGTAATTAACTCCCAAAATTTTAAGTTCTTGTGGACTACAACTCTAGACACAACTACATATATAGTTGACCATGATTAAACATTTGTTGATAGCTATTGCATATGAGAGCTCACAGGAAAATGTTTCTTTGAAACTTAAATAGTAGTTTTGGATCTAATGTCGTTAAGGACATTATAGGAATTAAGACCTTTGTGGAAATGTGAGTGATGGAATTAATTAATCCGGGGTCCGGATCAATTAACTCGAATAAATGAATAAATGTGACATGTCTAGGATTAAACGATAATAGGGGTTGGAATTATGATACGAATATAGTCACGGAGACTAGTATTGCATTAATTGTGTATAAAACGTTATTACAAAGCTAATGAGAATGTAATAACGAGACAAGTGTGTGATTAGGATATGAGATGTCTAAATAAGACACAAGTGAAGGTTTTTATACCCAATGTCGCCTCAACAACCCCGGAGGACGCGATGGAGCCACCCAGACCGCAACCGCCGCCGCAAGACCCGGTCAACACGAGGACCACGTCCCTTGGCCGAGCCTGGAGCTCGGCCAAGTGAAGAGCACGAGGTGGCCGACCTCTAGTCAGTCGATACTGGGCCGACCTTGGGCCAACTCGGGGTAGTAGCCGAGGTCCCTTGGGAGGCAGACCCCTCCTTGGTCTGCCCGGACACGTGCGTAGTCAAGTCAAGTCTCGGGTCTGATTTTCTCCATATTACGTCGCCCCGGATCCGCTGCGTAATTATTCAATCATCAATCCCCCACTCTCATTGCTGCGAAAATTTGTCAGCACAACAGAGTACTATAGCAGACCAATAATTACAAACCAAAAATTCACGCCCGAAATCGCAAGCCTGGCTCGGATAGAATTTTTTCCGCAATAGGAGTCTGATGTCATCCAAAATCCGAAATTAGCTCCTTCTCGTCACTTTTAGGAGTCTCCTACTACAACTCTTCCACTTACTCCATAAATAACCTTGAAAATCCCCCACAATCATCTTGCACTCTAAAGTCGCATCACATCCTTTCTCCATAAAGACTTTCTTTTCGCAAGGGGAATTTGAATTTTGAACTCCCAAATGGCCCCTAGGTTTCCCCCTTTCTTCTCTCCTCCTCCTCCTATATAAACAAGCATTCACCTCCCATACCTACACTCATTCTCAGCTGAAACCACACGCACACCACCAAAAAATAAATTCTTGCTCTCCTCGTAGGATTACCGGCGACACAGTAGCGCCATTGCCGACCACTACCGCCGACCACTGTGCTGCCGCCGACCACGCTACCGAGCCCCACAGCCAAATCCGCCCAGCCGAGCCGCCGTCGAACCTGCGCAGCCGAGTCCTCAGTCGCCGTCGCCTGCTCCGCCCAGCCAAGCTGCCGTCGCCTGCTGAGTCCTAGCGCCGGCGAGTTGACCAGCCGCCGAGTCCAGTCCCGCCAAGTCAGTCCGGCCTCCTTCTCTCTTCCATCCTCGCCAACTCCCCTTTTATCTAGTCGGGTGAGTAGTTCTACACCCTTCTTTTAGAGTTTCTTATGAACTTCGTACATTCTGGACTTGCTGTATGCATTTGGTACCTTTCATTTGCAACGAACAATAATTGATTTTTGCCGAACCCTTTGATTATGATAATATATGGCACTCCATTGACTATTCGGACCTCACGTCAAGTGATGACTGGTCCATAGACTTAGACCAGTTTCCCTTTCCTCCTCCTTATATTGATAACCCCTTTGTAGCTCTTTGTGACCCATTTATAGTCCCATTGGCAATGCATCCTCCCTTCACAATAGTTTCGTCGTCTCTTTCGGAACCTTGGTCCACGAGCCGCTACACCGCCCTCGATGTCACCATCCTGAACGGTATCGGGGCCGATCTAGATGACTATGAGATTGCCCACGCGCGGTCTTTGGTGGGATCGACCGCCGAGGTTCGTGCACCCCCTTCGAAGTGAGCGTATTAGAACCTCTCAGACCTAACTTCATTGGTGTTCACCTTACATCCCTCGAGATGGGTCTCGCTTTTCCCCTCCATGATTTCACGGTGGAAGTCTTGGACTTTCACCACATTGATCCAGGTCAGCTAGTTCCAAATTCCCATAGGATATTGACAGCTTTTATTATTAGGTGTCATCAAGTAAATATACCTCCCACTCTTGCTCTTTTCCACTTCCACTTCGTAGTGGGCAACTCGTCATCTTCCCAAAGTTAGGGCTTCACGGCATTTTTGGCTCGGTCTGGCCTGAAGATGTTGGAGAAGATAAAAGACTTTCACAAGCAGTGGAAACCCAAGTTCGTATTTGTGTCCACCGGTTCTTCCCTACATTTTAAAGTACCTTGGGAAGGGTACTTTCGTAAGCACACGTGCCCTAAAGGCATGGATGAGCTTACTCGCCACCTACAGTTGTTTACGGGTGTAGAAGGGGGCGTCTTGTTTCGAACCTTTTGGTCACCGAGGCCTCGGTCGGCTTCTATAGGGGACCCCTTCCCACTCCTCCTCCCCCTCCCCCTCGGGCTATCGCGATGGAGATTTCTTCGGTGGAGAATAGATTTGAGGACGACCTTGTCGAGCTGCGCGGGACATCCTTGCCGTCCTCTACTACTGGCTTCGAGTACCTGGGTTCGTGTACTATCCATCCTTCTTTCTTAGTTGCAGACCTTCTTTGGGTGCTTACATACGGTTTGCTACACGTATGGCCGATTAGCCTCATGAGTCATTTAAAAATGTTGTCCAGCGTTTGAGGAGCCTCGGCACTGCCAAGCGCCCGAGGACGAGCGAGACTAGCCGCGCCCCTCCGGGTGCCTGAGTCTAGCGCAGCCGCGAGACGAGGCTGAGCCCGGCCTCTACTGCCACGGGCCCATCAGTGACTCGGCCGGCCGACCCTGTGAAATCATACCTGTATTGTCTATAATTGCTTCACAATTTTGTTCTACAACATCTATGATAGACAGACTGTTAAGAGCTCTTTCATTTATTACTACCATTCTGTTTCCTTGCAGTACCAAAATATCTTTGCGCCTTTGATCAAGCTTGAAGCAGACTATGATAAGGTATTTTGTTCCTTTTCTTGCTATGATGGGTGGAGATTGGAGAAGTTTTCATTTTTTCTTTTGTTACTCTTTCCCTTTTTCTTGGTCCTCTGGTTTTTTTATTTAATTTTTTTAATCTTGTTTTATTTCCTGGACGCATCAAATGTGTGCCTAAATTCAATGATTATTTCTATGTAGTGGAAAATCCGTTCCTTTAAAAATGTATAAATCTGCTTTCATTGTTCTTCAATGTTTGTTCACTTGCGCCCATTGAATACTAAATTAAAGTTATACAACTTATTGATTGTTATATATATATATATATATATATATATATATATATATATATATATTGTAGATTGATGTTGCGGTATTGAGTGGGGTGGAAAGTGTAAACGGAGATATGGAATCCCCGAGTGTGAAACTCAAGGATGGCAAGTCGGAGTAAATAGAGTGCAAGATAATCACGTGTCACTGTCCATTACAAGAGAAAACAGGTGCAAGGAGTGTATATTGTAAGTCTGGGAATGTAGGTGAGAGCATGTGTGCAAGAGAGTGTAAGGGAAAAACATAACAAAGGAAATAAGAAAATAAAATAAAAGAAACTATAAAGTAGAAAACGGAGTGGATTGGAATTCCCATTTCTTTGTGTGCGTGAGGTGAGTCTGGGCTAGTGTTGAACTAGTCAAGTGAGGTGACTTCCTATGCCATTCACCGCTCGGTTACTAGGTCTTTCATAGGTGTGGAACCACCGTTCCTTAACCACGTTCCTTATGAGCATTTCAACAAACACTTTGTCTACACCTCATTCCCATCTCCGTCCTCTCGGATCTTAGAGACGGGAAATGCGAAGAAGACAAGTCTAGGATTAAGCCACAATCTCTTGTCGACCTAATCCTACTCAAACCTCAAGCATATGTTGTACATACACACCAGTCCATACAAAGTCTCTTCACAACAAGACATCAACACATAGCCAAACAAATGAATCAATACATATTACACACAAATAAATGAGATTCAATCCACTACTAGAATTTTAGCCAATCATTATCAAGATCATCAATCTAAGCATTTGCAAAGAGGAATCAATAAATAAAGCAATGGAAGTTAGATATCCAGATATACCCAATTGCAAGCTAGATTATCCACAATTGGAAAAGAAAGATGAAGATCCGATTACAAGAATCCTTGAATCTCCTTTTCTCCGTGCTAGATTGAAAGTGTTCTTGGCTAAAAACCTAGAGAGACAGGAGAGATTTCTAATATAAACTAACCCTAAAATTCTAGAGAGAGGAATATTACAAAGTGAATGATGAATAGTTCCTTTTCAGATCTGATTTCTAGCCTAAAATACACGCCATCACCCCTTTAATTCCCATTGGGCGTGACAGTGGGCGTGACTGGGAATTCTGACGCGTTCATCTCTGATTTTAACTGTCGAGATGTCCGTATTAACCTTCGTCGTCTTCACAAAAGTTGTATATCTTTTCGATGCTGATCCATGGCCACCTGAATCACCTCGATCGGACACTCCTAACTCCAGATATGAATTTTCTTCCAAACTATCACTGAAATGAGCTAAAACTGGTAGTATTTTGCTATTTACATCAAATGTAATCAAAGTTAGTCCTTGTGCCTAACTTTAATGAAGCCATTTTAAGAACATAATAGGCCTAAAGGATTCTAATTAAGCAAAATATGACTTTCAAATAACCCATAAAAGTAACACATTTTAGCACTTATCATAGATGATGAAAGAGTCGCAAAGTAAAGACAATGTCACTGTTCACTAGGACATTGGTCTCAACAAGAAACGTGTTGCATATTTTGTTTTCCCAAAGGTACTTTTTTTTTAGCCCTTGTCTGTTTTGCAGGAAGATAATGAGGTGCGACTGGTACCTGGTGATGAGTTGAGGTTGCGTTATTCAGGAGATGCAGCTTATCCAGCTTGGCAATTTGTAGGCCATGTGGTATGGTTTTTTCCTTCATTTCTAATGTTCTCTTTTGAAAAAAAAAAAAAAAAAAAAAAGAGAAGGAAAAAGAAATGAATTCTGAGGTTACTTTACTGTTGAAACTAGAAAAATGGGAGATGCCTGAGAATATTTGATTTCAATTTCTTTTGCACTTTCTGCAAGGGCTAATGAATGCTTCTTTTTTTTTTTTTTTTAGAAGGCTTAGGAATGTTTTTATGTACTTGAACTTCGTGCTAGTAAAGTATGTTGCATTATAATCTATTGCTTTGGTTTTAATTGGTATTTTTCTTCTAGTATGCATTTTTAACTATTTTTGGTTTGCTCTATTCCCATTTTTGCAGGGTGCACCAGCTGATGTTTGTCATGGATTTAGTGTTGACTTTGTTTGGAAGAGTACCAGCTTTGATCGGATGCAAGGTGCAATGAAAACGTTTGCGGTGGATGAGACAAGTGTCAGTGGGTAAGTCACAACGTCAAATTTATTGAGTTTCATTAGACAGATCATTATTGTTCATTGATAGCATTTGGTGGATGCATGGAAAATCTACTGTGAGAAGGTTGATTGATTAATGAACCATATATGTGCCTAATCTCCATGGTGTTTTTTTGTTATAATGGTGCTATGATTATTTATTTATTTTTTTTTTTCTTGTTTTCAAAATTTTATGTTACCTGCCTTACCTCATTTGTTTTAGTGCTGTTATCAATGCTTATAATGCATGTAGTAGTATATGAAACTTAGGTGCTGTTAAATTTCAAAGATTAAAAGGCCTAGAGGGGGAGAATAACAACTATCTGTCAGTTAGGCGAGAGCAGAGATAAAGAATTAAGGAATGGGAAAATGTATATAAGACTGAAAGATTATAATATTAGTATGATTCTATGTTTCTAATGAAGAAACATAGTAACATACACATAACTGTTAGGGGGCGTTTGGTTCATGGAATCTTGGATTACCCCAGGTAATGAGATTACCACCAGGAAGGTAATGTGAGATTGTGGGAATGTAAGATTACTTTATGTGTTTGGTTTGGATTGTGGAATATAATATTACCTTATTTGGTTAAGGGTTAAATTTTAGGTTATATGAATCAATTTACAATAATGTCCTCAATATATATATTATGTGTGTTTATTTATTTTATTTATTTATATGTATGAATGTATATCAATACTTAAATATTAAAAAAAAAAACTAAATATATAAATATGCACACAGACATGTATATTTGATTGTATTTAACATATATTTATTATTATTATTATTATTATTATTATTGTTATTATTATTATTATTATTATAAGGATTAGTTAACAAGGGCAATGATGGAATAAATCAAGGTAATCTAAGATTACCTACAAAAAATGGGGGTAATCACAATACCGCCACATAAGCTTTCAGGTAATATAACATTACCTGGTAATCTCATAACTTGAACCAAACAAGGTAATATAACATTACCAGACTCAGATTACCTAGGTAATCTCATATGATCCAAACCAAACGCCCCCTTAATTTAAAATTTAAATACATATTCATAAACAGACACCTATTTATGAATTAATAACCAAAATGGTCCCTCGACTATGCCGTAATTACCAATTTAGTCCTCGACTATCATTCTTACACGATTTAGTCCCCAACTATGTAAAATTTACCTAATTTAGTCCTTGGTTAAATTTTTGTTTATTGAACGTTAAAATTGAGGGCAAAATTGTCATTCTATGAGCTTTCTTCCTCTTCCCTGTTAAACAACGCCAACCATGCAATATTGCAACCGTAGTTCAGAATCATCCACTCCATCAGACCATGCGAATTCATTGCATCATCCCTGCGCCCCATGGTTAGCACGACGCCTGAAAGGCTCTTAGGGACGAACGCAACAGCCTGTTCTTCAGCTTTGGCTTTCAAATATACAATATACAATTTGCTTTGGCTTTCAAATATACAATATACAATTTGCAGGGAGATTTTTGAAACGGAATGGAGGAACGGGCAAAGGGCGTTTGCAGGGAGCGGCCAAGATCAACCATGGTCCATGGGGCGTTTACAACATCAACCAGATATCTCCAAATACCAAGACAACATCAACCAGATATCCCCACCAACTTTAACTCTCATCTCAGTCGATTTAAACGACCAAGATCAAATTTTTATGTAAAGGGCATCAGGGAAAAACCTGAATGAGATTGGTGATCAAATTTTTATGTAAAGGGCATCAAGGAAAAACCTGAATGAGATTGGTAATGAGACCAAAGATGAAGAACATGAGGCCAAGAGGGACAATAATCGCAGCCGCAAACGCCATGATCGAACCCCTTTCCAGTCACGACCAATACAAATGTATAGATAGATACAGAGAGATAAATATACAGAATGAGATCAGGGATCGAGGTGAATGAAGAGACTGAAGAGCAGAGTAATCTGTGCAATGCTTCGTATAATCGATTCAGATTAATATAAACAAATAAAAGCAATAACAAGCCGATAATCTAGCAAAGCATTCTTTTGGTGACGAACATTTATATTTATATATACTGTATATATGTGTTTCAGTGAATCCGATGGGAACTTGGAAGGTTGTTGAACAGTCCACGGAAGAACCTAGGGTGGCACTGCAATCTGCTTTTAAACGCCCTTTTCCCGTTTCAAGAATTTCCCTGTAAATTGTATATTGTATATTGATCGATTATATTCTGACTGGGATGCCTTTTTCTCGCTGACCATCTGGGGGCTCTGGAGATTGAGGAACGCTTCCATCTTCTCCTGTGAATCCTGGGATGTTGCTAGGAAAGTGGCATTATGAAAGCCAAAGCTGAAATATTATTTTGGGCCATTAGGAATAGACATATTACATTTGTAGGGATGAACCATGGTTGGCGTTGTGGGATGAGGCAATGAATTCGCAGGGATGAACCATGGTTGGCGTTGTTTAATAGGGAGGAGTAGAATGACAATTTTCCCTCAATTTTAACGTTTAACAAACAGAAAATTTAACCAAGGACTAAATTAGGTAAATTCTACATAATTGAGGACTAAATCATGTAAGAATGTTAGTCGAGGACCAAATTGGTAATTACGGCATAGTCGAGGGACCATTTTGGTTATTAACTCCCTATTTATAAACAAACACAACCTATAGACAGACATAAGTACATAACCCTTTGGTTTTCAGCACTCCCCCTCAGGCTGGAACATCTGGAAGTTCCAAGCTTAGATTAACACATACAGTCTACCTACTTTAAATTACAAATGAAGATTAAAAGCAACTAGAGGATAACAGAGTACTGTTGGATGGTTTTGAAGGGACGATGCTATACACAACCCTTGGGAATGAAGGCACATACCAAGGGCGAAACTTAACAGGAACAACCTTGGGAATAAATGCACCAAGGGTGAAGCTTAACACGAACACCCTCACATCAACAATTCAACATAAGCACTCTAGGATTTGCCAACAACAATCTTCATCAAGTGCGGCAGAGCAAGCAAAGCATGAGCAGCAAAGGGGATGTAGTAGAGCACATAGTAATGACAAATACACCCAATAATAATATTCTACATCATCAATAGTAAATGTATATTTTAATAAATAGTAAAGGTAAATTAAAAATGAAACGGAAATATTTTAATAATAATATTCTACATCATCAAATAAAAATGGAACAAAAATTAGGTAAAAATATCACTACATCTATATTCTAATTGACTAATTGTCTGAAAATAAAAAAAAAAATAACTGAAAATGAATCTAATATTACTAATTGACTATAAATATAAAAGGAAATGAATATTAATAATTGACTTCAAATAAAAAATGATTCATAATTGACTAAAATTTTTTTTTTAAAAAAAGTTATGGTCAGATCATTGCATTTTAATTAAAAATGGAACAGAAATTAAAAATTGGACGAAAATATTTCAATAATAATATTCTACCTCAGCTCATCAATAGTAAATGCATATTTTAAACAATAGTAAAGGTAAATTAAAATGAAAAAGAAATATTTCAATAATAATATCTACATCATCAATTAAAAATGAAACGAAAATTATGTAAAAAATATCACTACATTTGATATTCTAATTGACTGGAAAAAAAAAGAATAATTAACTGAAAATGAATCTGATATTACTAATTGACTTAAAAATAAAAGGATCACTAATTGAGTGATATTCTACCATTATATATTTTCACCTGAGTAACCTGTCCTGATAGACTCAAGGTGTTAGCTCTAGACGAGGATGGACAAGATTGTGTTGCCACTATCAATGCTGTCTACAACGAGGTTTCAATAATGTGTAAATATAATCGGTGATATTATGTTTTTTTTAATGGAAAAATTACTATATATCTACAAAAAATATATCTTCCATACAAATGAATTAGGATAGCAATTTATTCCTATAACTGAGTTGTTAGAGAACGAGCACATTTGCCTAATTTATGAAAATACTAAACAATGATAAATAAAATCTTCAAAGTTATAGCACTACATACGTAAATCTAGACATTAGCTATTAATTTGAGCAATTATTTGCACAAATTCAAGCGGTGATAACATCAAAATACATAAACGATCCAAATCATATCTTTAATTGCACTATATAATATTTAATGTTCTAATTTAAATAATTATATATCGATTCAAATATTCTTAATATATTACAATAAATTCACTCCGTACATCGGGTGAAAATACTAGTTATGGGAAAAAAATTATATTGATATATTGTATAACTTTGTGATTATGTAAAACTAGTTCATTGGTATTTTGGAGCACTCATAGCGTAATCAAATCAACTCGTTGAACGCCAACAACAAAGAGCCTAATACTGAAAAATTCAAATCGTTATGTTGTGGACATGGTTCTATGTTCATAATTATTGAATTATATGTTAATAATTATAAAGTTATATATTCATAATTTTTTTAACTTTATATTCATAATTATTGAATTCTATATTTACAATTACAGAACTTTATGTTCATAATTATAAAGTTATATATTAATAATTTTTTAACTTCATATTTACAATGATTGAATCTCTATA